TTGTCTGGAGCGTTAGTTCATCTACGTACTTCAAGTCTTTTATATTTTTATTTTATAAATGTATCTTAAACCCGTTTATTATTTGTAATAAACTTGAATACATTGACTTGTAATTAAGTTGTTTTTTTTTAAATTCGGTTTAAATTTTACCATATATTTTATTTTCTTTTGTCTCGTCTTTTTAGTCAATATTCAAACCGGGTTGTAGCTATATTCATGCAGAGAGGCCTTTATTAATTTAGGCCACAATCTCTCCCATGTGGTTCTTCAATAACTCATATCATTGAAGTCCAAAGCCGGAATTACTGCACCATAATCCAAAGCAAACCACAATAAATTACATTAAAAAAAAAAAAAAAACAAAACTACAAAAGTCCCAAGTAACCGAAGAAATCCCATTAGACACCAAAAGCTCGAACATAAAACATTAACATTTAAGAGTTTTGAACTTCACCTGATCCAATCCAGCAGAGAGATTGTTGATGAACTCATCGGCATGGATGTCGACGCCGATGAAGCATATGCACTGCCCACAATTCTGGCAGATGAATCAAGGAAGATTCGGGACTGCCGGGAAGATCAAACCCATTTTTGTCGCCCATAGTTTGATTCAAATGCGACCTTGATTATCTCCAATACGCTCGCTCAAACATTTTAAATAATCAGTATAATTTTCTCTTGGCATGATTTGAATGCTTAGGTTTAATTTAAAATTTTAGTTTATAATCTTTTCGAGTTTATAAGGCGGTTGAATTTAATGAGCTTATGGACTTATTTATAATTTATTAATATCATGTTATGCTATTTTTTGGTTTTAATAAAAAGAAAATGAACTTATAACATTAAATATTTCTTTTAAAATTTAAAATAAAAATATGTATTATGGATAGCCCAAATTTAGTAAAATATATTTAAATAAAATGTTAATTTGCTCACAACCATGGGTCCATAGCTCAGTGGTAGAGCATTTGACTGCAGATCAAGAGGTCACCGGTTCGAACCCGGTTGGGCCCTTTTATTTATTTCGTTTTTTTTCCTTTTTCAAATTACTAATATCGTGGCATATGCTACTTGAATAATATCTATAATTACTTTTATTTATTATTAATATATATAACACACATGTTTAATCTAACCTTTACTTAATTTTTATGTAAAACATTATAGCCATCTACTCTAATTTTTTAAAATTTTGTTAAACACCTAATCATTTGTTTTTAAACATAGTTTTAGTTTTTAATTGAGTTAACTTAATAAATAAACCGTCTCCATCTTCAAAATTAGAGAGTTAGAAATTGTGACATATAAATAAGGAAAGGTATTGAATAAGCCACGAGAGCTATCTTCAAAATAAAGAACTTTTATTGGCTTGTCAACTTTGCTCTTAAAAGCGAGGGGTAAGTAATGTCACAAAGGATATAAGAAATGTCGATGGTCATCAAGTGTTTGGGTCATTACAAATGGTATTAGAGTGGTACCTTTTCCAGTAAGATGTGGTTCGAGAATGAAGTAAGACGGAAGCTAGTGAGCATGTGACTCAAGTAAAAGAGAGATGCATGAATGAACCGAAACCACATTCGAATAAGAGCGATCATGAGAATAGTATGACTAAGAAAATACTTAAAATAATAGAAAGTCACTACATATACTAACAAGGTACACGTTTCTTTCTTTTTTTGTGGATCAATCATAAGAAGTTCATAGTTAAGCGTGCTTTGCTTGAAATAACGTTACGTTGGATGACTCTTCGAAATTTTCCTAGGATGCATGTGAGTAAGGATAAAAACATGTTGGTATGACTCATATTGAATTTTTAGGATAACTTTCACTCTTCGAAGTAAAAAGTAAGTAACGGGAATATGTCGTAGGAGATGTAAAGGAATACTGAAACTATTAGGTATCGAAATTCAAATTATAATCCTAAGCATGAAACATTACAAAAGCGGAGTAATGAAATCAAGTTGTACTAACGGGTATATTTAAGAAAATATTAATTAATTAACTAATTAATTAATTTAAACCCTATATTTTGGTACATGACGTAGATGTATGCGATTTTTTGAAGCATAAATGAGGTGTAGATGAGTTGGACTCAAATCCACATTTAAGGCTCAAATCGCGGGTGCCAGGTGGACTCCTCCTATGCCTGACTTGGACTCCCATATTGGATGACTCAACACGCCGACGCGGAAATTATATATATATATATATATATATATATATATATATATATATATATATATATTCTTTTTAAAGTGTATAAATTATTAGACCCCTCTCCAAATTTAATTATAAAAAAAAAAAAAAAAACTTATAATTATTAGACCGTTGAATTGGTTCAAATGTAAATACTTTTAAATTATTATTTTTGTAATTTCTTATCTACATTAAAGTAGATTTATAAATATAGTCTTAGTTTATGTAATAAAATATCTATAAAAACATATATGGGTACCTTCATAATTTAATTTGCTACATCTTAAACTATATATTATATCTATGGGCGTTCATGGATAAAAATAAAATAAATGAGTGGGCATATTGTGTATAGAAAAAGAAGACATTATTAAATAAAGGTGTTAAGACATGCAGCCAAGTACTGAAAACAAAATCCCATTGCCATCCAAATGGCATCTAAAGGTACGTATTTAATTTTTGAGCCAAATAAATGGTGGCCCCAAAGAACATATGCTTATCATGCCATCAAATCCATATATTATATTCAAATTAACCAAAATTATGTCCCTAATCTTTACTTTCATTCAATTATATTACCCCATTTTCGTCTTAAACTTACAGTAGAATTTCCTTTCAAACGCTAAATCTAATCAGTCTAGTTGTAGAATGGTGTTCCTCGATGTCAAGCAAATCCATCCGTGAAGGAAGAATCACTATTGGAAAAAGGTCGTCCCAATACGTCTAAATTTTAAATTACTTTTTTGTCAAATTATTCCCATTTTGTTATAATTATCTCGATTTGGGTTAGAAAAATAAATAAATATCTACTGATTTACATATTCTAGAAATTTTTGTCACAATCGGTTGTCTAAAGGGGTAAAAATCAAACAAAAAGTGGCTAAAAGTTAGTGGTAAAAAAGGAAAGGTAGTTGCGATGCCCATGAGAAGGGAGACGAAATGGTGAGGGAGGCATTGTCAACAAGGAGAAAGAGGGAAGAAATAGGAAAATGCAGAGAAAAGGAGGACGTCGACGGCTGTGCGGCTGTTCTCGAGCACGACGCTAACAACCCATATGGTGATCAATTGATTCTAGGATCTGCAGGGCTGAGCGACATGCTTGGTATAACGACACTACAACAAGTGCTAGTAAAGATCACGTGTGATTTTCAGTGTGCTTCACCAAATTGACAACAAAGACACTCTAAGATTTTGATTTATTTTTAATATTTTAATTATTTCTTTACTCAATCCTAACCATTTATCTCCGTCACACTAAAAATTGAAATTTACATCGACATAAATTCATTCTATTATAGAAATTTGAAATGTATATGTTTTAAATTAAATATTTTTATAATATTTTATATCTATAATTAATTTAAAAAAAATATTCATTACATTTTATTTATATTTTATCATCCCCTCCACATTATTTGGACAATATACGTGAATTTATCCGTTGTGAAATCATTAGAAAAAAAATTAGTTGAAATTAAAAATAAAAAAAAATTATATTTGATATAAAGATATGGCTGAGCTGGAAAATACAAAAAAACGGACTTATACGATTAATTTCCAGATAAGAAGGACACGTCTGATCCACTAGGAAGGGAATGTAATATTATTTTGGTATATTATTGGCATTTTTAAGCTGTTTTCAAATTCCAGCTGTCATTTCTTTATAATCATTTTATTTTTCATTTTTAAAAATGGTGTCTATTTTCTCTTTCTTATATACACATTTAAATTTAAATACTGATAAGTATTCCAATTTTTCTTAATTTCTAAAATTTAGATTAAAATTTTAAAATGTTTTTAAATGAAGTTTGGTGTTCTCAATACGATTATATTACTACATAAACTTAATAATAATAAAAATAAGTTTGATCCAATTGAGATCAATCGACTTGTAAAGATCATAAATATCATAGTACTAACGACTCGCGTCTATTGTATAAAGACTTATTTTCAACGAGAATGAATGACAATATTTGATGTTATTATTAAGGAAACTCAATTTAAATTGAATAATGCAATTTAATTTTGGTGCGTTAGTGATATAGATAACATCAGCGTCTTCCTCTAAGTGATGATCTATACTTGCAATTAGTAACGAAGAGTTAAGATTTTAGAGATAATTTATTTTTGGAGACTTAAATTGGTCTAAAGAACAACGTCATAACACTGTTACAAATGACGGTTGAAGCATGACATTATGAACCTAGTGGCAAGACTCTCAATATAAGATATGTGCCTAGTCTTCTTGCGACACTAAATATCCACAATGTTGCATGTCACACTATCTACATTCCTCACTTATTAACCATGAAGACTATTCCCATAGACCGACACGACATGAGTCCTTCCAGCATTCTTCACTTCTTAAGAGTGAAGATCATCCCAATAGACCAATACAAGTTCTTGTTTTGTCTTCATTCACATGCATCCTACGAAAATGCGTAAGAGATTACCCAACATATAGAATTTCTCCAACTAAAACACGTTTGGTTGGTATAAGTAATAACTTTCAATTATTTTAAACTTTTCTTAGTCATCTTATCTTTAGAATCACTCGACCGCTTCCTCATCATACAGTTCCGTCCCGAGCTTCCTCGACCATTGTCATTGGACCACTATCTATGCATGTCTTTTTAGCCTGGACTTTCGAATCTTTTGCTTCTCTACCGCTAAAAGCAGATGGCAATCCCACAGGGGCAAAAGGGGAAAAAAGGAAAAAAAAAAAGAAAAAACAAAAGATGCAAGACAGAGACAATCTCTTCCCACGTGTGAAAAACCTATCAAATTTGAAACGTCTAAGAAGGGAACAGATGTAAGAGGCAGCTTCCTTCTCTCCCCCCCGGATTGACTTCCTCTTCATCCTCTTCTCTATATATCAATCTTCCTTCTCCATTTTCATTCCAACTCTTTCGCACTCTTTCATCTCCTTTCCAATCTCCCTTTTTTCTCCTTCGATCTTTCAGGTGCCTCCCTTTTTCATTCCCCTCCTTGTTGGTTGCGCCTTCGATTGCTTGTGTTATTGTTCATTGTTTCGTTTTCTCGACCTTCAACTCCACGATTCTCTGCTCTACAATCGCCTATTGATATTGGTATATGATTGTGCGTACTGATTTTGATTGATTTTATGTGTTTTGCTTAGATATGACTTCTAATGAGAATGCCGTCGGTGAGAAGAATCGAGTTCCGAAGCTGAATGAACGGATTCTTTCTTCGCTCTCTCGAAGATCGGTTGCTGCTCATCCTTGGCATGATCTTGAGATTGGTACTTGCGTATCTGTTGAAACCTTATTCTTTGTGACCTTACTCTGATTACGGCTATCATTGTTCTGATTTAATTTCATTATTCCTTTTTTTACTGCAGGACCTGATGCTCCTAAGATCTTCAACTGTGTATGTTTTTCCTTCCTCATTTTATATTCAAAACTTATGGAGATTTTTAGGTTGAGGTTATGCATTAGAAGTAACAAAGTATAGTTGTGTAGAAACCATTTTCTTGGTTTGATTTTGTGGATGACTGTGGTTGCAATTTCTTCCAAAATTATGGATCTGTGAATGAATGCTGTTCAACTTTAAAGCTGATCCGTTAGAAAACAACCTCTAGTTTGTGGCCCATTATGATTTGTCTCGTTTTAGCATTGAAGCATGGAATGCAAAGAGAGTAGGTTGCATTGTCTTATCATTCTAGACAATAATTTTTGTCCTTTTCCATTTACTTTAGTTGGAGTTACCTTTCCATTTATGATTCTTTGAAAATAACATTTTTCCATTCCATCCTTGGGATTTCTTTTGCCATCAAACCCGGTTTCTGTTTTTTTTTTCTTCAGAAAAATTTCAAATGTTTTCAATTTGTCTTGATTGATGGAACTACACAGGTTGTTGAGATTACAAAGGGAAGCAAAGTCAAATATGAACTTGATAAGAAGACTGGGCTGATCAAGGTATGGACGTGATATCAATAGATACCATCCCTAATAAGAGTTGGAACATCTTGTCTTGTGAAATTAATTGTGGTGTGTCCATGATGATTTTGGACAAGTCACTTGGTTATTAAAAACAAAAAAGAAAAAAACATGAAACGTTTCCGATCTCAAAAAAGTTAGGAATTTGTTTTGATTTAAATTCTCCTATTTGAAGGTACTGACTCTGTTCATAATGAGCAGGTTGATCGAATTCTGTATTCATCAGTGGTCTATCCTCATAATTATGGCTTCATCCCCCGTACACTGTGCGAAGACAATGATCCTATGGATGTTCTAGTACTTATGCAGGTTATACTTTGAACATTGCTCATTCAGTTGACATTCTTCTCAAACTGATCTTATAACGTAATCAAATAAATTTTGGTATTGCATTACAATCTTTCTTGTAAGAGGCAAACTGAATATTTCTGAAAATCCTAGAATGCAAGACATCACAATTTGTCTCCCAACTTTTGGATTAGCCGAAAAGACATCCAAGAAATTTTGGACTCTGCATTTGTGTTGCTGTTTTTTCCTACCTGCTCAGCAAGTTTTAGCTTCATTCACTGTGGAAATTTACAAAAAGTCCATTGATTTGTTTGTATAGGAACCAGTTCTTCCTGGTTGTTTTCTCCGAGCCAAGGCCATTGGACTAATGCCCATGATTGACCAGGTACTTTTGAAGCAATGGAAGGAAACAAAACCTACTTTGTTCTCTCATTCAAATAATTTAACAAAATTGTTGCTTTTGTTCCAGGGAGAGAAGGATGATAAGATCATTGCAGTCTGTGCTGATGATCCAGAATACAAGCATTACAACGACATCAAAGAGCTTCCCCCTCACCGTCTCTCTGAGATTCGTCGCTTCTTCGAAGACTGTATCCTTTCAAATCTATTTTGAAATCTAGATTATTGTTCTTCGACCTGACATACATGTCTGCAAATTTCTTAACATAATTGAATCACAGATAAAAAGAATGAAAACAAGGAGGTAGCAGTTAATGACTTCTTACATTCAGGCGTTGCTCTTGAAGCTATCCAGTACTCGATGCAAGTCTTTCTCTAGATCCAATGAATTTTACATTCTGGTTTCGTTTCAATCTTTGTTCTTACAAGATTTTTAAATTTTGACTAAATTTGCAGGGATCTTTATGCTGAGTACATTCTGCATACCCTGAGGCGATAAACCGACCAATTTACCCCGCCGATCACCTTAATAAAAGGCCGTTGTAACGTTTATATTTCAAACAAACATGTTCTGTTGTAATGTGGGACTAGTTTCCTTTTTCCTTTTCTTTTTGAATTCAAATTTTTGGTTATCTGATAGATGAATACCACGTCAAGGTTTGATTCACTAAAACGTATCACCATTCATGTCCAAACACTGAGTTAAGTTTTAATTAATTTTTAATTTCATACTCTAAATTTTTTAAGCTTTTTCTGAATGTCCAGATAGAAATTTTGAAAGGAATAAATTATTCTAATTAGTAAGAGCTCAACGGGGCCTCCTTTTCTTGGGATACCATTGAGTTTTTATGCTTTTATGTCTACAACTCAGTTCATCCAATTATTACAGAGATGAACCTAATTCAGAATATGTAGTCTCGACCATTTGTCCCACTTCCCTCCCCAGTTCATCAAGTGGTCGTACTAGAGACAGAAACAAACATACAAATAAAATAAATAATAATAAAATATGGTAAAATTTTGCACAATTTAAGACATAAAATACACAAATTGGACTGACAAGAGTGTGATAGCTCTAACGTAAGAATATATATTATCCTATTTGGGCTTTCCTTTCGAGCTTCCCTCAAGGTTTTTAAAACGCCTATGGTAGGGAGAGATTTCCACACCCTTATTAAGAAACCCTTATTAAGAATGCTTCGTTCATTATTCTTCGTGAGATCTCACAATCCACCCTCCGGGGCCAACACAACACTAGTTTCTCTCTCCAATTGATGTGAGATCTCATAGAGATGACCCCCCGAATACTCCTTCACATAAATCATAGACCAATGAACACATGGAAAAGAAATGTAAAATAGGGCGAATATTAAAATCTTTAATAAGCAGCTTACTTATAGACTCTCTCAATGAATTTCTAAAGGCTTTAGGTTCTACAAAGTTCGGGCCTAATTCTACATCTATCTAAGCTTTTGGGTCTGAAGGTGGTTCGCCCATTTCTAGTTTCATAGCTCAACTAGACGAGAATCTTAGCTCGAGGTGGAGTAACTTGATTATTCTTCTGACTTAGTCAACTTGCATAGTTACAATAATGAATAATCAATATCTATATAGGAGAACTACCAAATAAAATCCGTTGGGACAGTATGACATTTAGATGGTTTGAACATCTATAGAATGTAAATTGACAAACCCTTCCACAGAGCCATAGAATCACTCTGAGTTAGGGAGTGTGACCCCGAGTAAGTTACCTATGTGATCCTACTCCCTCTCTTCGGACAGGTTTAGAGTACATAGGCCCTATTCAAGAGAACTATGGCCATTTCCAAACATTTTATATTTATTAACCAAAGAATGCAAATTTCTTTCTCATGTTTAAATTTCAGAACACAACAATTCCAGCTAAGCCTATACTTAATATTTAATTCAATAACTTTATTTAAGTGTTTTCTTCCCATAGTTCAAAAGAATTTGATTCTTGAAATTAATTTATTAACCATTACATAACCAAGTCCTATTCAATTTTTAAATGGTTATAAAAAAAAAAAATTACATATTCTCAAGAAAAAAAAAAATATCGGTCACCCAAGAGTATTTAGTCTTACAAGGTGGTCTTTACTAATTCACACGAGATTTCATGTGTCTCATACTACTCGAGTCAGAGTGTAAGCTAGTGATGCTTTCGGCTACTGGACTCTCGTCAGTTAGAGTGCAACATTCCACCGCTTTGCTTAGCAGCACGACGCATGTATTTGTCTCCTACAACCCCGTTTTGAAGCTAACATATTCCACCCGCTCAAAGGCAATATGATAGGAAATAATTGAGGGTAAAAGAAAGGAAGGGGTGAGAAAAGAAGAAAGGGAAAAGGTTGTAGATTGTGTGTATGAGGATAAAAGGGAAGGATATAAAGAATAGAGGGTTAGGGTTTAGGGTTTAGGGTTTAGGGTTTAGGGCAGCAATGAGATGGCAGGCATGGGAGTGAGGGACCATTACACAAATTAAAATAGGGAGTGGTAAAGTGAGTTAAGAGATGAAACGTCCTTGTCCAAACCTTTGCATGCGCTGCGTGGAACTGCCCCTTCCTTTTCTGCACAGATAACATAAATATAATTAAAATGAGAGGACTTTGATCATAATGACCACTCTCCTTATTTACCAAATTTTCAAAATAATGTGATCAACTCACTATTTGATTTTTAAAAAATATAGTGTGGGTACAAGACTCAGTAAATAGTTTACTCGTAGGTTGTTAATGGGTATCCATGATAGATGCTAGAGTACCATACTCTTTCTGATCATGATACATGTTCTAGTTCTTTTCTAAGAACCTTTGTCCTTAGGTTCTCCACATGAGTTCAGATGTGAAGACCTTAGTTGGGTTCTAAGTTTTAAGTTCTAAACTCCATTTTGAGGACCTTGGTTATGAGATTGTGTGTTATTAAGTTCTTAGTTCATGATTTTTTATTATTGGTTTTTGATTTTTTTTGTCTCTTAGACACTCCTTTGGGTGACCGGTTGGGTTCTATGATCGTTGAACAACTCAATATTAACATATGTCTAATGTTTCATACATACCCGGCAACATAGCCTATGTTCAGAGGCTTCATGCATCTCCTGTGACATACGTTGAGTTATGATACCTGTGCTTAGGGCTTCAGGCATCTTTTGCGACCCAATGTGCATGCCTATGCGTATGGTTTTGTGTGTTCCATGTAATCTAGTATGAATACTTATATCCAAGGCTTCATGTGTTCCCTACGACACATTATGCATACCTATATTCAGGGTTTCATGTGTTCCTAAATACCTATGCCTATGACTTCATGTGTTCCCTACAACGTCTGTGACACGAGATCATGTTGCACCGCCCATCAAAATGCCTTTAAGACATGAAGGAAGAGTGGTACCTAGTTCTAAGAATTCTTTCTTTAAGGCTTGAGGCACAACCCATTCATAACCGATAAGCCATAGTCAAAACATGTAAACCTTTCATGCATAAGTCCTTCGTACTATCATAAGTAGGCTTCATGTTACTTTGAAACCATAAAAACTTGGTATTCTTATAAAAGAGACCTTCGAGATAATCTTGTCATTTTTCTTCTAAGTTATGGTTTATGCCTCAAACATGTTATAATGCCTTTGAAATATTGCATGATAATCTCTAAGGTCATGGATGAGGTTCATATATAGTTCCATTTTGAAAATATCAAACGATCTTGGTTGGAGCGTTTTAGTCATTATTCACCCAATTCAACCTATACTAACTTATACTATTAATGCAAATACAATTCAACTTATACTAACCTATATTATTAAATTTGAAATGCAAATCTATCCTATGCATGTGTCACAGTCACGGGATTTGCGATGCTTCTGTCAGCCTCACAAGGGCGCATTGCCTTTATTTGAGAATGTAGTAGCACGAGACTTGAGTATTTTAAGAATATTCAGTAAGCGATTCCATATCAGAGTTATGCAATAAGAACATGCGAATGCAATGACGAGACCTATCATATTAGTCTATTTTCCGATGGCACTATCCTAACGGGCAACTTGAGTGTATCATATACTCTACACATAGCCCATATGTGCGAGTATAGACTCATCAGTCAGTTCGTACATCACTGGTCCTCTTTCCTTGTCGGGCGAGCATGCTCTGGTAGCTCTTTATGCCAAACACCCGTTAGAATTAGTAACTACCATAGCAGTATGATGTAAAACATAATGATAGTTCTCCTGCCTAGTGGTGTATGCGTCCGTACCCTCATGATGAAATAGGGGTATCCCCCAATGCATGAGCACACATAATACATGAGGTCCCTATATTTTTCCATTTTCAACCTTGTTAAATATAACCCAGCTATTGTTTTTCATTCATACCATATCATTTATCATTTATAAGTTCTCATATCATGCATAATTCTAATGGGGTTATATTTCATGTCATTTATCGTGATTTCATGTCATTCAAATCATGTTGTATACATACAATGTAGGAGACATAACATAACATTTCATGCTTTTAACATAACATTTCATAATGTGCGATTTATACAGTAATTAACTCAACGGTCACATAAAACGATCTAATCATAATTATCACATCACATTATAATGCACATCAATTCGTTCCAAAACAACATACGTTCACATTGCATACATTTACGTATTAAATCATAACAGTCTAAACATACAATTTATGACACGTGCAAAACCACGGGCATGTACTAACATACAACATTGAATTTCTATAACCTACGATGGTAGGGCCAGTTACTTGGTAGACCTTAACCGACTTACTCCTTAATAATTTATAATGTAAGCTCCTAGCTCCTCGTACATGTCCTACGCTATAGTTGGTGGTTGGTTCCTATTGGATCGTTCAACACCTTTTGTTAGCATTTCACAAACATAAACATATTCCAACTTGAAATTATGAAATACGACCTTAAAATGACCTAATTTACCTTCAAAGAGGTTGACCTAATTTACCTTCAAAGAGGTTGAAATCAGGTTTGAGAGGGTCGAAACGGGTCAAAAATGGATTTTTCGAGCTAAAGCACTAGAGCCGAGAATCCCCAGCCAAGCCATTTAAGCCGCTGGAGCTCAGTAGGTCTTCGCGTCAGACGTTGATACATGGCACAACCAGGAGCGGTTGTGTGTGCAGGTTAAAGCCTGGTCGTCAGCGGGTAGGGCATCGATCACGGGTCTAGCACTGCGACGGGCTGTAGGGTTTAGTTGCAGGTGGGTTGGGCTGGGCTGTGGGATATGGGTCGCGGGTATTAGGCTATTGGAGTTAGACTGGGTCGTGACGTTTTCAGACTTTTGATTTTGCAGGTTGGAATTCAATTATTAATAAATGTCCACTACAAAAAAGAAAGGAATTCAATTTTGCTTAATTTTTTATTATTGAATTAATATGTTACCATTTGTGCAGTGAGTAATATTAATACAAATTTAAAGATATAAAAAAAGAAAGGAAAAGAAAAGTGGAGATATTGATTATGAAGGGCAGGGTGGGAGGTTGGCAAGACGGTGGCGCTTTCTGCTTCCTGCTGGCTGCTACTGCCTGCCGCCACGTTCCCTCCCTTAGGTGTAAGATATAGGATGGGGCCGACGGCGCCTACCTATTCTCTCGCCGCATTCATTCAGATCATGGTACACCACCATGT